CCATGTGGATGGTGGTAGTAGACGCAAAGTTCAACTACCCTTACGTAGTGGAAATGGGGAACACCACGTCGTCTCAGATGATACAAATGTTGGAAAAGATTTTCGTCACAGAAGGGTTACCAGCGATTCTAGTTTCAGTCAATGGTCCCCAGTTTGCGTCCCAGGAATTGGCAAACTTTTGCAGAAGCAATGGCATCCAGCACATTTGCGCACCGCCGTTCCATCCGCAGTCCAACGGAGAGACAGAGCGTTTCGTAAGGACTTTCAAGACGGCAATGGGAAAAGCGCGTGCAGCAGGAACACCCAAGTCCCGAGCGCTCCTGATGGTCCTGGCGACATACAGGATCCTGCCAGGCGCAACGGGCAAGAGCCCAGCAGGGATTCTGCACGGCAGGCAGCCCCGAACCCTATTGTCACTCCTGAGCCCCGATGACCCACACAGGTCAGAAGGTACACTCTTCAAGTACAAGGTAGGTGACAGGGTTTATATACCATTCCTTTAAAAAAGAAGCAGTCCGTACAGAGGAAAGATTGGCCACCATGGACAGATTAGGTCCAGGATAAACGAGAGCAAGGTAGACACTCAGCCATGGCTTACCTCAGAGGAGTTCCGAAAAAAGATACTAAAGGAAATAATATATCTTCCACAGGAACCCACACTCGGAGGAACGTCAGCAGGAGAGCAGACGGCCACAGCAGAGACGCTGGCAGAAACAGCCCCCAGCAGGAGCGAGCGCGCTAATTCGACAAGCGCAGAACTACGGCCCAGGAGGGCCAGCCGTTCGGTGCGATTTGCGCCGTATACGACGCATTTGGGCGCGGAGGGTGATTTGGTCGAACGCCAATATACGAGCGGTACATATCAAGTCATCTGCAGTATTGTCACCAACCGACTTATGTGGCTCAGGATAACTGATGTCACTCTGACCGGGAGATCCTAGAATTCGAATTCGACAGTATCAGGATTTTCGACACTACCAAGAATATTTCTGGTGAGAATACAGCTACTGTCTGAAGGAGAATTCTAGGGACTGGCTGCTCTGATCTGTAGTTTTCTGTGGTTTCTTCGATCAATACCAGGTTAATGTCGAAGCACTACCCTAACAAATCATGGGCAAACCGCTAAATATTTCCTTCCGCTTTCTTATCATATCCTCGTCCCTACACTTACATGCACTACACTATCACACATGCCGGGAAACCAGTCGGGAGCGTAGACCTGCTCTCTGTATGGCCAGGGTTTTGCTGGATATCTGCTAAGGGAAAACCTCGCAAGCCGACGTGTAGGATGGCGCCGGATCTTGCCATCCAGTGGTGAAATATTCCATCTACTTCCCATCATAAAACGTTCACAGCACGTACAGTACCTATAACCATAACAGTTGCCTCGCCCGGAAACCCGAAATCAGAGTGGTCGCAAGATTTTTCTGATGAGTTTGACACAAGTTTTATTCAAAACAAGAAATCCCAAATTATTTACACTAGCTACACAGCCATATTGAATTCAGCCGCTGTCTGCAGGGGAATTCCAGCAGCCGGCTTCTCAGATGGGTAATTTTCCATGATTTCTGCGATTTATACCATTTCAAAGCCGCCACAACACTCTAAGAAACGGGCCAGGAACCGCGTCTTCTTCCTTGTTGTATCCGCTCCCCTTACACACGCGTACACCCATACACTCTTATATGCACTACATTACCACTTATTTTGGGATATCAGTCGGGGGCTTAAAGTTTTCCTGGATGAGAAGATGCCCTGCTAGCGACGATATAGACAAATTACTCTAAGAAGAGGTCAGGGCGGGAAACAATCATAAGTTATGTCCGACAATATTATTGCAAGAGGTTTTGTTGAACCCACTTGCAAGTGATTTAACTTCTATCGATTAAACTGACGATTTGAGAGCCTGGGCATAATCTGCAGTTTTGATGCCAACAGAAGCCAAGCCGTAGCTGTCAAAGCAGCCCTTAGAATGATATCTCTATACCTGTAGGGGAAAACACCCGCATGGTGAAGTGCGGGTCGGTGCCGGCAACCGGGGTACATCGCCTCAACCCAAGTTACAAAATACACAACATTTACAGAACTAATTACCACAGTAGTAGATACGCTCGCGAACACAAAATAATTAATGAATCAGGTCATTTCGTGGCTGAGAGCGAAAATAGTTTGCCTTTCACCAAGGAGATTCCCAGACAATGTCATGTGAAATTTGTTCCGACAACACGAGTTTGGCTGCTTCTCAGGGGTTGAACCTCTTAAAAGTGTCCTAAACCCTAGGACTGACCTAATTTCTTCCCAGTGTATTGACGTAGGAGCGCGTGTAAAGAGGCGCGTAAGCGAGGATGCTACCCTGCTTGACAACAGAATGCCTACCATTACGAATACTCTAACGTTAAAATCAATAACGAGGTCGATAACGATCTACTATTTGATGAGACCTTAAGTTTTAAACAGAGAATGAGTCGTGCACTGACCTGCTGTCGAGGGCGATGGTCTTCCGTCCGTCCGCACATGAGGGCCGGAAGGGGCCGCGCAGCAGCTCGAAGGAGAAGGCCGGGCGCGGCCGCCCCGCCGCTCCGGACCCTCCCGCGGCCTCGTGCAGCGTCATGTTGAAGGTGGTGTTGACGCGCGCCTGGAAGGAACATCAAAACGTATCAGAAAACGTCAAGCACAAAATACGATGTTAGACCAATGGCATCTGCATGGACGTATGAAATGATCGGCATAGGGCGTCGCCTCTCATCGACCTAGGTGACTCAGAGCATCAATTGATATCACTGCAATGCCTCTGACCGAGAGGTCCTGGGGTTATAAGGTGTGATTATGGGTCAAAGATGAGAGAGGAAAGATCGCGCGGGGTCCATGTCCCGTTTGATAGGTTACTACTCTGGCATTTGCTTGGTGAAATTACAGAGAACTACTGATCAGAGCATCCGGCCGCTATAATGTTCCTGCAGTCAGCGGTTGAACTCGATTCAGCTAAGAAGCTACTGTCGAAAATTCTATCAGTGTCAGGACTCGAACCTAGGTCTTCCGGATCAGAGACACATCAGTTGATGCCCTGAACCACTTTTACCGGTGTTTTTGAACTTGCATTGTATTTAATACACTGCTTTAGCGATGAATTGCCGCGTACGCTAGTAATGAATAAAATGTCGCCTCCTTACCCGGCAGTGCGCCTGCTGCACCATACCCACGGATTGGCCCAGCGTCAGCTTACGCGAGTGGTCGCAGCACTTGCGCACGCACGCCACCCGAGCGCAGGGGCACGACAGATACGCCATGTAGCCCTTGCCCAGCGCCGCCTGGTCCACGCAGTACTCGGCCGGCGACAGCAGCAGGTACTGCTTCTTCACCACGGGCACGCTGCTCCACAGTTTAATCTGTCCATCAAAAGGCTAGCTTTATTTTGGTTAGGGTACACAAAGAACTACATATTTCATTGCATTGTACTTGTTGGAATAGATGAGCGTTTATTGGAAGGCTTACCTCCTCTAACACACGTACAGAGCGTATATCATGATTCGTTGTCAACATTGAAGTAATTAACGTATTCCAATAGTTTATTAAGCACTTGTACCCATTTACTTCAGCCTGATATTTTCAAAAACACGGGAACTTGTAATAAAGTACGAATGTTAAATGCTTAAGTAAGGGAATTATAATGTGTTTGAAATATTGACCAGCCAATACAAGTTTGCTCTTAAAACCCCTGAATTGTTGATGTTTATCTTCTGCCATCAAGTTCCCACACTCAATTGCATAATTAACCATAAATCTAATCTAATATAAAATGTCATGCTTTTGTTTTTTAATACGTTTGACCACCCACCTTTATCGAACCGTTTCTGAAAAAATGTGCCTCTTTGCTCCATTTCACTGAGGTGAGATTGAAAGGACAAGGGCGCCAGTTGTAGCGGACGACGAGATCATCAGAAAAGTTCTGGTTCAGGATTGTCCAAACAACCCTGGTGAGCCACGGAGGCTGGCCCCTCCTTCGCACGCTTTGCCAGTTCTCCTGCTCCTATAACAGTTACGGTCACTACATCTTTATAACTTGAAAAACAGTTAATCCATTTCCGCGAATTAAATCAAGTTATTCAAAAGATCTTTTACACCTTTCATAGTTATCTTTTCTCTCTGTATCAAATATTTATATCTGTATCATATATTATTTTCTATTTATAACTGTTATTTTAAGATAATTATGACTTTTCAAAATCAAACTTACAAACACTCATACTTCTTGCACATGTCAGTAACATGTTTAAATATTAATTTTTACTTTTCCGTATACGTAAGTATAAAGTTAAGTAATGCTGCGCGGAAAAACAGCGGAATGTTGGCAGAAACAAATTCATTTCCGCACCCTAATATACGAAAAAATTGATAAATCCAGTAACTAAATTAAGAAAACAAAATCCTTTAACACGTGGTGTAGCGAGAATCTCTTTTTTGTGGGTCTGCTGTCTGTCCGCCTGCGCGTCCATCTGTCCGTCCGTCCATCCGTCCGTCCGTCTCTCCGTCTATCTGTCCGTTTTGTCCGTCTGTCCGTCTGTCTGTGAACTCTGTTAGCATCTAAAGCATGCTTAGTATTTACTTCAATTTTGAAACGCTGTTCATCTGGCTCGAGTGAAAGCTTTGAGATTTTGAAAAATAATCTTTAAAATTGCGGGTACTTTACATGAAGCCCTCGGGACATTTTCAAAATTTTCTCAAAAACGGCTCCAATTTTTTTCTTTAAATTTCTTGTAAGAATAGAGTAACATACAATTATAAAAGTTGCATAGGTCTGATTTTCACGCTTAACCTTAAACTTTCGAAGATTTCAAAAATATTTTTTCAGCGTTTTCCTACAACTATAAAATTGAAGATAGAGATTTTTCTTTAAAATTAAATTCTTTGTCCATAATTAGTACTTACATTAAGGTCAGTACATTTTTTTGAAACTTTTCGTAGTTTTCGCGGAATATTGCGTGCACTATGTACAAATTTAAAAAAATACAAAAACAAAATGTTCTCAAAAACTGTACTCTACGAGATGACTTAACCGTCATATTGCTCTATTATTTTGTTTTTCTAAAATTACAAAAATGTAACTTTTTGATGTGTATCTCACGTCGTTAATATATATTAGCGGCGATTTGTTAACAATAGTATATTGATGCGTACAGATGTATTAAATAATGTCTTATAAAGTTCCTCTAAAACTCATCCATTTTCAATGAAAACTAGCTCAACATTTTGTATTTTCAGAAACGCACAAACGCCGTTTTCTCAGAAAACGCCGCCAAATTTTGTTATCAAACTTTTAGAAGGGAGAGCGCTAATTGCTCTGTTTAATACGACATAAAGTTCATTTTGGGGTACACCATTGAATTTGTGAATTGATGTGCGTTAAATGACTTCTAATAAAGTTTTCAATAATTCAAAAAGTTTTCTTTAAAAAAGGGCTTCACATTGAAAGACAATTTTTGTCGAAATAGGACACAAAATCGGAAGCCGGGAACTTACTATTGTGTTTTCAGCTCAATCAACTTAGCCGTTAATGGTCTCTTAAGAGACATGCGGAACAGATTATTGCAATACAAATTGCAATGGTCTATAACTAGGAAATAATATGTCCTAGGTTCTTAAATTAGCTTTCGTGCCCGCAAAGGGACACGAATGTTCTGAAGACATAATTAGCAATATAGTTGTGATAGCAATATAGACATGATAACATAGCAATATTAGAATGTTTACTCAAACACAATATCTAGCGTGTAATGGTGTAGCGCCTGTGTCACGGAATGGTTGTTTGAAGATATTATCCAGTATGAAAATGTATTTGTTATGGCATAAACAGATAGGGCCGCGGCAGCGGCCCAGCGGCGCGGAGTGGCTGGTGGCATACTGGCACTAGCCGGCTGCGCGTCGGGCCCAGGAGCAATGGAAGGTGCTGGGAGGCGCCGCTAGGAGGCAGAGCGGCAGCGACGGCTGGGCGCCCGTCAGCTGAAACGGCGGGAATCTTTCCCTCCCTCTAGCCAAGATAGGCGGGAAAAAGGGAGACTGGCTCCGCAGGCTCGGGGGCTATTAAGCGGCCGGCCCGCGGGGCCGGAGTCAGTGACAGTCCGAGCTACAGTGCGGTGAACAATTTTAGTGAGCGACGGAGTGCCAAAGGCTATTTGAAGTATGGCGTTAGTAACAGTGATTCTCCTGGTGTGTAGTTGATTAGTGCTTGTAAAAGGGACCTCTTCTGGAAAACGGCGAACTGACTTGTACTTGGTTTATGCTTTTGGCTCTGAATAAACTTGCATTGTTGATGAGAACTGTTGTCCTCTTAATTGGTCCTGGATGTACAAAATTATTCACTTTTAAAACAATTATTTACAAAGTGCGGAATGTTCACAGAGTTGAAAGCTAGTTGATTGATTATTTTTCTGCAAGAATCATGGTTGGAGACAAATTTTAATATTTTACGAAACACAACTATTAATGAATAAAAATCCATTATAATACATTAGTTACATCAGTTGTTGCAAAATTTGCTATGTAATTCTAATTAGGAAGCAAAAGCTGGAGATTACTGGGAGTGACAAAGTAAAAATTTGTGTCTGAGAAATTCGTGTATTTCTTCGTACTAGGGTTCAAATCGCAATATGTCAAAGAAGGTGAGTTTCCTACAGATTCAAGGTTTAACAGGATATTAGCAATATATAGTAATTCAATAATTAATGGCTCAAAATGCTTCTATGAATATTTGTAGTAGCTGAAAAATATAGGGGAATTTTCTCAAAACAGACACAGCCTCCTAAGTGGAACCCTCAATTTTTTCCTTACAGGAGCTGCTGGAGGCAAGTGGAAAGCCACAAAACTAATGCTTAGCAGTACTGTCTTTCAATGGAATCGTGGAGCAGTTGATGGAGCGAGTTCTCTGTAAAGTCAGAGTGTCGTTTGTGAAATTGTTGATCTCTTCATTTTTGGCAACAATACTTTGATTCTACAGAGATAAGGGTTCATTTTTCTATACAAACCCATAGTATGATAACACAACTCATAGAGTACATACTTGCTTTAGCGGTTAAAATTTAACTTGTTAGAATGGAAGGTGGTGCACATTTTCAAATATGCTTTAATTGGAATTACTGCGCGTTTCAATGTAGAGCCTCCTATACAGTCGTTACAGAGATAATCTGACGATAACGACTCTAAATCTATTTTAAATTTGATTTTTTTATAAATATACAAACATTGGATGTTTCCGTTTATTATAGTGTACAAATCCTACCTTTGCCGCAGATTATAAGGAGAATTAGATCACGAGGTAGAAAGCCCTGCTCTTCTACTGTAATCACGTCTTCTCCCTACGCAAAGGACCTGCAGGAATCATTAAGTCAAAAACACGGGAAGTATTCAGGACAAGGAAAAGGCAATGGAAGAGGACAGGAAAGAACATAAGGCGGAATCATGAATAAGAAAACAAATACAGGATATAGAGGCCTTCGCTTGCGATCTACTGGGGAAGTGTCATCAGAAGATGAGTCCATAGTCTCATTAAATCAACTTCCTCACATATGGAAGTTCCTCATAATGATGAACCGACTGATAACAATGCTCTCTGCACCTTTTCTGTTAAGGAAAATTACCATCGGATGTCCTAGGGGAATGGTGGTTCCTTTCTGCTACTTACAAAATTGTGAGGGGTTCTCTGCACTTAAATACAACGAAATAAATAAGTACCAACGAAAATTTTGCTGCCTGTTATTTTTCTTTACGATACCATAGATATTTTAAAAGTATTAGTTTGGATTCGAACTCACCCTCCCAGCACTTAGCCCGCTTCCTCGCCAACAAGTTAAACCCCTCACCAACAACCTGCCATCCGCCGTCCTTAACTCCAATCATTTTATTGAACATATCCGCTCCGTTAGAACCAGTCCTGGTGACATTCTTGGGAGCTTCGATGTCTCTTCCCTTTTCACCTTGGTTCCTGTCTGTGACGCCATTAAGATCGTGGAGGATAAACTCAAGAAACACCAGCTGCAGACGGAGTAGGCTAAACTCGCCGAGGTCTGCCTGTCCACCACCTTCTTCCAGTACCGACAAGAGTTCAACGCGCAATTGACGGTACTGCCATGGGCTCAACGCCGCTCTCCCCTGTGGTTGCGAACCTCTTTATGGGATATAGGTGTTGTGGTGTGATATCTTTGGCATTTTTGATAAAATAATTAAAGACGTTGTCATTGCCAACAATATTATTTAATGCAAGAGCAGCTTTCGATGGCTTAGCCATCATCATCAGTTGTCTGCTGGATGGAAGCCACAAAAACGACTACCGATCTCTTTCTGGGAGCCTTTGAAGAGAAGGCCCTGGACAACGCGCCTCTAAAACCGACTCTCCGGCTCCGCAACGTCGATGACACCTTTGTCATTTGACCCCACGGTCCCAAGAGTCTACAAACCTACCTGGCGCACCTCAACAGCATCCATCCCCGCATTCGTTTCACCACGGAAACAGAACTTCACGGCCAGCTCCCCTTTTTTGACGTCTTGATCTCCAGGCGCCCCCGACGGGACCCTCGGTCACTCCGTGTACCGGAAACCGACCCACACCAATCGCTATTTACATGCAGACCCACACCATCACCCTGCCACGAAACGAGGAGTACTCACCACCCTCACTTACCAGGACGCCCTTATCAGCGAAATCGACAGTCTCAATAAGGAAAAGAGATACTCAGAGAGACTTTCCTGGCCAATGGCTACAGCAAATCTGCCATACAACGTGCCTTAAAGAACCATGACATCTCCGGGATGCTTGCCGGTATCCCGGCAGGCGTGATCTGTGCCTTCGTAGCCCTCAATATAGAAGGCCTCCTGGGGAACGTTCCGGGAAGCCGGAGCGGGAGCAATCCTGTAACTGGGGCCCAGCAGCGAGCTCCTTGCTGGGATGAACGAGGTCTCGCTGGCGCCACCACGGCCCGTGGGGGTAGCGCCATCTCTCCTGATCGGCACACCTGTGAGGCAGTACTCGGTGCGCGA